CCGCCTCGAGCTCTTCTTAGTGTCTGATTGAGGGCAATATTTTTGGGACGTCCTTCTCCCATATATTCTTCACTTGTTTCTTTTGGATCAGGTCTGAGCTTGAGTTCTAACCCTTCGTTAGATTTGTTTGGTTATTTATAGGATAAGAGTTTAAGTTTGATAGCATTTGATCTGCATATCTTGTTTCGCCATATGATGGGAGGCTTGTTGCTGGATTGTATATAAAAGCTTGTGGTGATGGTCGTTTGTGGGAGATAGTCGATAATTTAGGGGGCGATTGGATATGAGTTATGGTTCAACTTAACCGGTTGACTTATTGCACATACAATCACATAACTCAGAATCCAACTCAACTCAACTCTCCTATTCCTATAAATAAAATTAAATAATATTATCAATTATTCTCACACATCACATAAACTTTAAACTACTATTATTCAACTCGCGTAATTTTAACTATCTATCACTTCCTATAAACTTTATCCTATGTTTGCATCACATCAAATTCAATCATTATATTATTTATTTTCAAATTCAAAATAATCCAGTCATTCTATTTTATTGAAAATAACTCACTTTAACCCACCAATTTTGAATTATTACCGGTTGGATTCATATCCAATTGACCCCTTAAAGTTTGGGTGGCTTGACAATGATGAGTTTGCTTGAAATGAGGGAGATTTTGTTCCATGTATCAGTTTTATTTATTTATTTATTTTTTTTTGTGTAGGTTAAGTGGTTTGTGTTTCATTTTATTGTTTTGTTTGTGTTTAGTCTCAATTATTATAGGGTGTATAATCAATTTAACAACAATTTATTTGGAATCCAATCATTTTGGCCGCTAGTTATAATTACGTCGTACACTTGTGGTTGTCGACAATATTAGCAAATAATAGCTTATACGTTGTTTGCCACATCGGATTAGAATACAAGGATTGATTTTTCATTCAAAAACTTGTCAAAAAATTTCAAAATCAAAAAATATTATTTAATGAATAGAATCCCAAAACAAATAACCGACCCTCAATTATTCAAAAGTTATTTTTTCCCTCAATAGGAAGATCAATCAGTTTCAACTGTTTCATAACCGACCATTTGGAATTAGCGCATCTCATTAAGTCTTGATTAATAACAGTGGGATTATTAGGAATTTAGGGGATAATAAAGTTGACTGTGAAGGCGAGCGAGGGGGAGGGTTAAGTTGGTAATTTAAGGTGGATTGTAATTTAATACCGTAAACGGTTTTTCCACCGGTCTGCATGTCATATAGTAGCAAATAAATAAGTATTAATACACGTACAAATCAATTTTCTAGCTTTCACATGGTTGTACTGGGCAATATTCTTGATTAGGAGATAGGTAGCGCTAGCTTCTGCGGAGGTTATGCGGCAAATGCTATCGTCCGGTTTTAACCGAAAAAAATTGTTAATTCGGACCGCGGATCGGTTAAATGGTCGGTTAAAAAAAAATTTAAAAAATCCGGTGGTTAATTTTTTAAAAAATTCGGAATAATCGATCCGGTTAACGGATTATCTGCAGCAAACCGCCGGTTTAACCGGACCAGACCGGTAAATATTAAAAAATTATAACATATATATATATATATATATATACATTCAGTCATTCACTATGGCCGACAAATACAATACATTCACTTTCACTTTTTGGCCTTTTGTTGACTTAATTTTGTAAGATACTATAACTTTTCATTTTTTCACACATTCGTTTTTTTATTTTCAAATTTTCCCACCTCCTCTTCCTAATTTTTGGGACGAAATGTGTATTTTTATGCGTATGGGACGAATTGTGTATTTTTAATTTTTTATTGTTGTTTTTCTTAATTTTTAGGCTCAAATAATCTCTTTTGGACCCAAAATTGAAAAGTAAAAATTAAACCCAAAATGAAAAAAATAAAAATTGAAAACTCAAAACAAAGATTTAAGACTTAATCGGTTAACTGCCAAACCGGACCGTCCAATGCGGTTCAAATTGTGGCCGGTTAAAAAATAAACCGATCCGGTTATGGAGAAGAAAAAAATTTAACCGTTAGGTCCGGTTTCGTCATGGTTTGGGCTAAAATCGGACCAATCCGGACGGTGAACACCCCTATCGTAAAGACCTCCAACAGGCTGTAAACGGCTAGATCTCGAGCTCCTTTGCTGGTTGAACGCCTTTGGACCTGCAAAACTCTCACACTGGAGGGGTTTTTCTGGTGAAGAGTCTCTGAAACTTAAGTTAACACTTGTAAAAGATGAAGCGCACAGTCAGAAAAATGTATATAGAGATCGAGTTTGTAATTCTGGGCATACCTCACTCCCTTATATAGGGAGATGGTACCTTGTTGTCCAAACCCATCCATGTGGGCTGCCCAGACTACCCACTCATACTGCCCAAGCTACTCGTGTTGTAACTAACTTTAGGCGAAATACATCGCTTTAATCCAGGAGCTTTTCATATCGAATAATTGAGAATCAAAACTGAATAACGGAAGCGTACCTGAATCCATAGGTGATTGATTGGTGGATTTGGCCTTCTAGGTCTATACGATCGTGTACCTTTCAGAGAACCCTTTAGCTTTTCTCCGTAACCTCTCTGT